TGGCTTAAAGCAGCATACCTATGGAGAGATTTTAACTGAGACTGTAGAGATAAAATATAAGAGGTGAGTTCTTCATCGCTTAAGAGAGAGGAGGTGTGAGCTGGTAGTAAGGGGGAATGTTGGGGAACAGGGTGTCCAAACAACAGCTCATAAGGGCTGAGCTTTAGTTTTCTCTTGGGGGTGGTTCTGATGGACATAAGAGCCAGTGGTAGAGCCTTAGTCTATTTTAACCTGCTCTCAGCACATAGCTTTTCAATTTTTTGTGTTTCAAGGTTTGATTTATTCTCTCTACTTGTCCTGAGTTTTCTGGATGCTAAGGGGTATGGAATTTCCATTCTATTCCTAGGCAGCTGATCAGTGTTTTATTTATGTCAGCAGTAAAATGTGATCCTTGATTGTTTTAATGATATGTGGTGGACTAAACCTGGGTATAATTTTGTTAAGGAGTATTTTTACTACTTGTTGTGTTGTAGCTCTTCTGGTGGGGAAGGCTTCTACTCACCCCGTGGGTTGGTCAACAATTATTAGGTGGTTTTTGTACCCATTGTCTTTAGGCATATCAGCAAAATTTATTTGTAATCTTTTAAAGGGAGTATAAGCCCAGGGGTGGGTTCCAGGGGATTTTGATTTTTCCCCTTTGATATTAATTTTTTTTGCATATACTGCAGTGTTTTAAAAGCTTTTTTGCTTCCTGGTAGACTCCGGGTGCGTAGAACAGCTTATTAGTGATAGCAGCAAGTTTTTTGCAACTTAAATGCTTGTTTTGGTGAAGTTGTTGTAGATAAGGTTTAAGGGCTGTTTTAGGTAGCCCTATCCTTCTGTCTGGCAATCACCATATTCTATTCTTTTTAATTACTTTATTTCACGAAAAATCAGGTACAGAAAGTAAAAAACAAACAAACAAACAAACAAACAAACAAAAAAACAAAAAAAAACTATCAAGCTTACTAAAGAGAAACCATTCCAGGACATTCAGAACTTCACACCATGACAAACACTTTCGCGGTAATATACATCATGCCTAACATGCCATATAGCTCTCGAGAAACGAACAGTTCTACTCTTCCCTGTCTCTCAGTACACGTGCAAAAACTTTCGGCATTTCACTTTGAGAAAAAAACGAAAGCAGCCTGGTGAGGGCCCAGGGCACGGCACAAGCTGGAAGCCACAGTCCGCTACCACGCACAACTGCTCAGGCAGTGGTTTAGCTTTAAGCACTTTAAATGGAGTTATTACTGCATAACCTGTTTTTTTTTTTTTAACTCCGTTGATTATTTTTGAAGAGTTAATTACATAAAAAATTAAGTTAGGGTTATCTAAGGGTAAGTTACTGAGATTTGCCCTGGGTTTGTTTGAAAATACTGTAACTTGTAGGCAACTGTGGGAGTCTGGTTTACTCTTGCTGGGTAAAGGTAATAAGGTAGTCGGATTCAGGGTATTGCATTTTTCTATGACCAGGCTTGTGGCCATTAAAAGTGCGGTTTCATATTTGTTTATTTTTTGATGAGAAAAATGTTGTGTGTTTTTTCTGGAGGAGGAGGAGGGTTACTGCGTGTGGAGCCTTTAGGATAAGGGGGTATCTGAGGATTAATTCCTGAGCTTTCTTGACTATTGTTGCAGCTGCTGCCACTGCGCAAAGGCAGCCTACTCCCCCCTTTGCCACTGGATTTAATTGTGCAGAGAAGTAAGCTGCGGGTGGCTTTATGATCTCAAAAGACTGGTTTTTCTGCATTTTTTGTTTTTCTTTTTTTCCTTTTTTTTCTTTTCTTTTTATTAAAAGTTTTAGTAGCAATGGCTAAGATTAATGCTATGGATTTACTCTCAACACTCTTAGTGTTATGTTGGAGCTTTTTTTTAATATCTTCACTAGCCTGACTTATGAATACAAGTCTTAACACAGGCAAAGTGGCAGGTGTTTCAGGGTCCATGTTTCCATACTGGCGTATAGCTTTACAGAGTCGTTCAAAGTAGTCTGAAGGGTGTTCTTCTGGACCCTGAACAGTAGCTGTCACTTTGGACCAGTTTGTAGTTTTATCTCCTGCCTTTTTTTAGTCCTCCTTAGCATACGTATTGCATTCTGTCCCTCTTCCTAATTATAATTCTAATTTGGATCTTGCCTAGGTACGCTATTAGGCATGGAGTGGTTTTGATGCTGCTGATCGGCTAGAAATTGGTCAGCGTGGCGTAGTACTTGGGTCTTTTCGTCTGAGGTTAAGAGGCTTTCGAGAAGCTGCATGACATCTGACCAGGAGGGGTTATGAGTCATGAAAATGGTTTTGAAGCGCCTTAGAACTACTTCGGGATCATCTCTGAGCCTGGGGGTGTCTTTTTGCTAGTTTAAGAGGTTGGTGGTGGAGAACGGAGCGTGTGTCCAGTGACTAATAATTTCTCCACACTTTCCAGGCACAGGTATTTTGTTAGGGGAGCCAGAAGGCTAGGGGCAGGTACTCGTTGTTGGGTATGATTAGCTATGGGAGTCGGATCAGTGTTCGGGGAGGTTGAGTCTGGAGAGGGATGCCTTGATCCGTTTACAGGCTCAGGACTTGGGTGGTCGCCGGGAGGCAGTCGGGGGGATGCCTCCCCACGATTTCCCGAGCCCGATTTCCCGAGTCCCCTGCCAACACGGGAATGAACGGATCAGGTGGGATAGGGGGTCTGGGCATGGGTCTATAATCATCATCTGAATATGAAGGTGGTGCGGAAGGTTTTGGACATTGAAGGGGAGCTAACAAATTCGGGAAAGGTACAGGGGTCGGGGTGACTAAAGGTTTACTAGCAACATTGTCTTATAAATACCAATAATTAATTTGGCCGAGGCGGAGGTTCTCCAAGATTTTTCGTAAGGCAGCCAGGCGATTTGGGTTAAATGATTCATTTTCTGGCCATTGTCTTCCCAAATCTAACTGGGACGTATAAGACGTCCAATTAATTAAACAGAGTTCTGCCATACAAGACTTGGACAGTTCTGCCCATCCCTCCAAATGTTTCTAATTCCTGATCATATAATTAAGGGGTGAATATCCTAGGCCACAACCCATGATTATATCCAAGTATAAGCAGTCTTATTTCCCTAAGTTCTTCTTGCCTAGAAGCTGTTTCGTCCACGTACAACAACCGGTGTTCTCGGACCCCACTGGCTTTCTCCGTGAGGAGGGGCGTCTTGAGTCCAGTTTTGGGTACCGCGCTTCAAGTGGGATGTGGAGAATCTTGAAAGGGTTCAGAGGATGGTCACTCGTATGATCAGAGGCCTACAGGCAAGGCCTTACGAGGAAAGACTGAGGGACCTAGATCTCTTCAGCCTTCGCAAGAGAAGGCTGAGAGGTGATTCTGTGGCTGCCTATAAATTCATTAGGGGAGGGTAGCAGGGATTAGGAGATGCTCTCTTTACTAGGGCACCCTCTGGAGTAACTAGGAACAATGGCCACAAATTGATGGAGAGCAGATTTAGGTTAGACATCAGATAGAACTTCTTCACAGTAAGGATTGCCAAAATCTAGAATGGGCTTCCAAAGGAGGTGGTGCTCTCCTCTACCTTGGGGGTCTTTAAGAGAAGGCTGGAGCCCCAGCGCTCTTTCCTGCCCAGGGCAGGGGGTCAGACTCCATGACCTACTGAGGTTCCTTCCAACCCTAACATCTTTGAATCTATGAGGAAGAGGTTCGGCTCAAAGGGAGGGATGAAAAGGAAGAGAAGGAGGGACCCTTTGTTACTCTCGAGTCTGCTTTTGTATTCTCCTTTCCTCTTGATGACTCTTGATCTGTGGCTATCCCTGGTTGGTTGTCTTTCTGTGGTTACGCTATTCACATGTTATGTCATCAACACATTCCAAATCCGTTACATGCCCACATACTAATTTGGTCTTTCTAGGCCTTCTCTTAATGTGGTCTGTTCCCCCAAAACCGGGACTCAGGACCCCTCTGCTTTGAGGCCTTACAGCCCCTTGCTCTGAGGCCTTGTTAGCTGGTGCCACTTTTATCTTGTGTTATGTGCAGTATGGTAGAGCTGTGTGAAATGGTACTGTTTCATTTTGACTTCCATTTTTCCGTTTTGAAGGGATGGTGTTTTGCTGTTTCAAAGCACTGTTCCATCTCATTTCATCAAAATGGTTTATCTGTTTCTACACATTTTGATGTTTCACCCATAGGCTATAATGAGGAATCATGAAAATGCCTATAACTTTGTCATTTCTTGCCTGATTCGGATGAACATTGCAGGGATGGTAGCCCCTTCTGAGGGCACGAAGCCTGCCACGTTTCAAGGAGATAGGTGCAGGACTTTCTGGGAAACTGCACCTCAAACTGTTCAAAGCAAAATTCACATCACTTGCGGGCAGCAGCAGCCTGCTGTCATCCCATGCATACATCTGGGGGCCTGCGCCTCCTGGGAGGGCTGCAAGGCTGTGCTGGACTCTTCTCAGGGGACATTGGCCCTCGGATCTGCACGCAGGATGACATCAGGCTGCCACGGCTGACTGGAGCCAGCAGCAGCACCAGTCTTCCCAGCGCTTGGCATGGGCTGTGCCCATTGCCAGTCCCAGCCAGTAGCGGCAACCTGCTGTCATCCTGTGTGCAGATCCAGGGGGCCGTGCCCCCCAGGAGGAGTCTGGCACACCCCTGCAGCCCTTCCAGGGGGCATGGGCCTTTGGATCTGTGTGTGGGTGTTCAG